AAAATTTCTAATATGACATATATTATATTAATATTTTCGAGTTATAGCAGTAGATTTAGACTTTCAAGTCATAACATTAAAAATTTCAGGTTGTAACAGATTATTAAAAAAAAAGTTATTTTTAATAATTAAAAACATTTGATTTGAAAAGAATAAAAAGATAAAAAAAAATTAAAATAAAACGTTTCTGAAGGAAAAAATGAAAAAAACGGAAATAGGGGTGGCAATTAAAGTTGAATTAATTTAAGATAATTATTAATTAGCATGAATTAAGGAATTTCAAACTAATTAAGAATATTCAGTTTCCTTAATTCACTCCAATTTGTTAAAATTAATTTTAAAATATGATTTTATCCATTTTTCTTTCACGTTTCTCTCTCTTCGATTTTCTTCCTGAAATTGTCACTGGCGACAAATTGATTTTTTTTTTTGTGATGGACAACTACGTAAATAAAATTTGAATTGATTGATGATAATTATTAATTAGCATAAATTTAGGAGATTCAAACTAATTAGGAATATTTAGTTTCCTTAATTCACTCTAATCTGTTAAAATTAATTAAAAAGTCTGATTTTATCCATTTTCTTCTACGTTACTCTCTCTTAGTTTTTTTTTTCCAGAATTGTTGTCACTGACGAGTAAATCAAGTTTTTTTTTTGTTTGAAAAATCTTGATTTTGTTGTGATGGACGACTGCTTATCTATATTAATTAAATATGGTGGTAGATGGGATCTTTCAGGTTGAATAAATGTTGGTATGAATAATTGGATGTTAACTATATATAGTTTGGATACCAATTATATGGTGTTCATTTTGATCTCCAATTAAATAGCAAAACTATACTGTTATGTATCCAATTGTTATGTAGTTTATATATAACTGATATTTAAAAATTTGTATCCAATTGATATGCAGTCTGTATATAACTAGTATCCTGAAATTATGAGAGTCAATCTGTAATTCATATGTAGTTGATAATTGACTTGAAGAAAACAATGCATATTCTATATCATTCAATACTTAAAACTGTATCAAAAACAAATATATATCGTTCAAAAGTTAAAAAGACATGAAATACTAAAGAGTCTAAGCTGCAATCAACTATCTCAAATTTGATCTCCGTAGTCTTGGTGTAGGATAATTGTTGGTATCTGGAGCATGTTCTTTTGCTATGCGGGATCCATCAAATTTGCTAGCAACAGTCCCAGTTACTTCACTCTTACTGATCGCGCCATCATCATTCTTTGTTTTTCCGCATTGCCATCAACGTAGTTGGAGAAATTGAAAAGGAAACTTCTTATTATAAAAAATAGGCATTATAAGAAAATACCAATTTCATACCAACATTAGTCATAGTTTATACAAATTTTTTTTGGATGATTTAACAAACTACAATCAATTCACATAATTGGACCATTGATATCACACCATTTTCTGATAAAAATAATACACAATTTAAGTCAGTTTTCATACCAACAATAAATCAATTTCATACCAATGTTAAAACACATTTCATACCATATTCATAAATCGTATATTAAGTCAGCTTTCATACCAATATTATTCATGTTTCATGCCAGTTTAGTAGACAGAATGAGAATAATTTGAAAAAAAAATAGATTTCCTCTAAACTGTGTACCAACTTCATACCAGATTTAAACAAGTTTCACACCAAATATAAGTAATACATCATACCATTTTTATACCAAATTTTATACCAATTCATGCCAACATTAGACAAAATTCATACCATATTCATAAATCGTATATTAAGTCAGCTTTCATACCAATAATATGCATAATATAACAATTTTAACAAAAAAATCTACTAAATTGATTTAACCATATCCCATGTAGTAAAAAACACAATTAACTTTTGGAGGACACAACACACAGTCAACAATACTTTCCAAGAGTCCAAACAACATAAGGTTTCAAGAACATCTTTACCTCCTATAATAAACTCCAATCTACACTACACATGGCCATAAATCTCCCAAAAACATTAGCAAAATCAATAAAGATTCAATTTTTGACCATTCCCCACGTAGTAAGAACTCAAATCAGCAAAACCCAGAAAGGATCAACCCCAAAACACCTCTGATTCACCTCCATGATAATGGTAAAATAAACTTTCTTGCAATACAATTATGAAACGAAATTTCTCCAAAATACTAAAATTATTGAAAATTACAACTTAGAGATCTGCCCTTTTGTTTTGATTGTATGGAGAATATATTTCTCCTAATCAGTTTTTAGATGTTGAAAAATTGACTTCAATGGTGTACGGATGAAATAGATGAAAGATGAATTTCTGTTTTTTTTTTAACATGGAATTGACGTGGGGTGGGGTGTGACTTGTAGCTGTAAAAAAGGAACTATAATCAATGTAAATCCCTATAATTGTGTAAAAGATAATTATGGGGTATTCTTTATTTAAATAATTTAATAATAATATAAAATTATAAAAAATAACTTATTTAATAAAGTAAAATTTAATTAATTTATAAATAATTAGTGATATGTTATAACCTGTAATTAAACTGTTATAAGCAAGAATTTTTTAAAAGTAGATTTAAAACCTATAATATTGACTCTTAAATGTGTATATGGGGTGATTTTTACTTGGAATAAATACATCTTCAAGTGCTAGAGAGTAGAGCCTATGTAAGTACTATTACGGGCTCTCATGGAAGCTGGCCCATTTTAGTACTGCACCGGGCCTCAGCAAAGGCCCAATCATGTATTCAAATTTCAAAGTACCCACTGAAATTTTCACTAATTTTCCTTTTTGAATTAATAACTCAGCTTATTTCTCTTGTAGTTGATGTAACTTTAAACCACAACCTAATTCAAATTTGTATGCTATAGCAAAATTTGCATAATTGTGCTCCATAGCAAACATATATATGTATAATTCGCTATACATATACAAAAAAAAAAACAGTTGTATAATTCGCTATACATATACAAAAAAGACAGTTATACAATTCGCTATACATATACAAAAGAAAGTAGTTGTATACAAAAGATCAATTGTATAATCTGTGTATGTATAAAACGAGAAAGAGAGAAAGGCAAAAGAAAACTGGGCAGAGAAATATTTGCATTGTATAATTATAAGTGTATAAGACGAAGATATATGTATTTGCATGTGTATATTCAATTTTCTCTCGCTTTATACAAACAGAAACACAATTTATACATTTCGTTTCTGTTTGTATAAGCGAGAGAGGCGAGCGAGATTTGAGAGAGTGGCGAGCGAGATCTGGGAGAGGGGAATGAAAATATATGTATATATACAATTTACTCTCGCTTTATACAAACACAAACACATTTTATACATTTGTGTTTGTATAAAAGCGAGAGAGGCGAGCGAGACTGCCACCAAACGAGAGTGGCGAGCGAGATTCCACCGGGGAGAGTGGCGAAAATAGCAATAGTTTGCTATAGGGTACAATTAAATCAAAATATATTTATAGCATTTAATTTGAATTAATATTTTGCTATTATATACAATTTTCCCTTTTTTTTTGAGGAAGTTGAAAAAGTGATAAAAAAAAAAAGTTAGATCACGATCTAAGAATTTGAAAATTATCACAAATCTCATATCACAGTATAATATTTAATGAGCTAACTGAAAATTAAATTAGCAAGTATTAAATCCGAGTTAAAAGTTAACCAAAAATGCTAATTTCTCAAAAATTGTATTTGTAATTAATGTTTTTAAAATTGGAATAAAATAAAGACATATGAGTAAATCCACCGTACTTGCTTTGGGCAAAAAAAAAAAAGAAGGGAAAATGTAAACACACAAAAAAGAGTCACGATGATACAAAATTTTCGAAAGTGAGAAATTTATGTCTAACAAAAAACCTTTCACATTAGGAATGAGAAAGCAAATGCGTGTATTCACATAAAATAAGAACTTGATGGCGTAAGTCCTCATCCAGAAAGATCATCCACCGCTTTAATTTATTTGTTGTTGTTTTTGATTTGACATAAATTTTAATTATCTTTTTTAAAAAGAAGTTTATGAACTAAAATAATTTATAGATGTTTGTTTAACTATATACAAATGCTATTTTTTCTAAGACTAACTAATTTTTTAAAAAATATCAGGTAAATTGGGACGGATACTTATACTTGTACTCCACCATCTTTATCACAAACCTAATTTTCTTAGTTGTGTTGGAGTGCTGGACTTTTTTGTAAACACGTTTCAGCTCTCTCAACTACCTAAATTTTCACTTACCCTTTTTGAAACTACTAGTCCATGATGACACCACCACAAAAATCTCTTTTGTTTCTTTCCTATTTAAAGGACTAGCTTTATTTCATTGCATAATAATAAACACACACACACACAAAAATCACTATATACTCCTCTCCTATTATGGCATACCATAGAAGACATTCACCACCAAGACCACCAGGTCCACCACCCCACCCCACCCATAATTTGGCACCACCACCACCTCCAGGTCTATATACCGCACCACCACCTTTTCCTCCTCCAGTAGTTGTACTTGTCAATGAATATGCTCCTCGGCCTCCGTCCCCTGCACCACCTCTAGGGCCACCACCTCGTCCTTCTCCTCCACCGTATAATTATGATCCTCCTTATCGTCCATCTCCACCGTTGAGCCGTTTACCCCCACCTTACTAATCAACACTCAATTAATACTAGTATTGCATTTGGAGCTGGAGGAGGGTGCTAGCAACTACTCGTCTAGTCATATATGTAACTTAATATAGCTTGTTGTCTACTAGTTTTCTATTGGTAATTATAAAAAGATCGATTGTTTTCCTTCTCCTGTATTTTGAATTACCTTTGGCTGCTTTTAACACCAAAGAGAGCTAAGCCTAAGTCATTTTGTTAGTGGAATAATATAATAATTCCGTGATTATTTTATCGAATACCACCATTAATCAAACGACCCTTGAGAATTAAAAAGACATTCTAACTAGTTAAAGAAATGCACATTAGTTAGCTCATATGAGATGATCAAGATCATATAAAAAGACTTTCTCAAATATATATTTTTTGTGAATCCCAATGGACCTCTTCATCAACCCTCGTTATATAATTTGTCTTCTTGAATTCAAGCTAAGAATAAGAAATTTTGGTGTTTTCAGTTGGCCAGTAAGCGCGCACACTCTTTTGAATGAAATTTCTTTCCCTAGCAATTGATGCCTGTAATGCAAACAAGAAATTAAAGTTATTTACTGATGCTATATATCTTGAAAAAACAATTAGTAGTAATTAATTAGTTGTGTTGAGTGATAACCTGCTTTTGCCAATCCGTGAGACATGTTATAAGGGAAAACAGAAGAGATTGTACTAATGAGCCTGCATTTAGTCCAATCCAGAGTCCCTTCCCTTTTAAATGGAGATAGAAACCCAACAATATGGCTACTGGGATCCCAACCAGATAGTATGAGCCAAGATTGACATAGGCTCCCAAATGCTGCCATCCGCTTCCTCTTGCAACGCCTATAGTATAGGACATGAGTAACTATAAGGAAGGCCTCGCGCAAGTAAAATACAATGATCATGAGAAGTTGAGATAGAGAACGATTATGATGTAAATTGCTTAGGCCACGAACATTGTAAAGGGCTGAAGCTGTTAATGAAATTGCACATTGTGCACTAAATTTATAAGGTAAAGAATAACTAACAAGAATTGGAGCTTACCAGAAAGTACAGCCTGAATGCAGTCTGTTGCAATAAAGAGACAAAGAAGTGGAGTCATGTCTCTGAGATAATACACTACTTCCTTCTCATTACTGAATGCATATCCCAGAACGCGACAGGAGCAAAGAAGAACGATACTTGCAACTATGGCCTCTGCCATTCCGAGTACAGTTACTGACAAGACAGACATTCTAGCTGCTTCAGGATTCCCAGCACCTAGTTCATTAGAAATTCTAGTGCTACAAAGGAAAAAGATGTTCTTTTTAGGCCATAATTGAGCACAGAGGTAGGTAACATATGCATGAAGATACAGAAGTTAGCAGAGAGCATTTGAGCAAACCTTACACCAGCACCAATGGAAAATGGTATGAAATAATGAAGCGAAGAAACTAAGAGGCTGTCAGGAAAAACATGCACATATCAGTAGTGATATATTCGTTAATAGAATGCTGACAATTCTAAGACTATATTATAATTTTACCATATTGAAAGCACTGACGTTTCAAGTTGAGGTTTTGGCAAGAGACCAGCCAGCAGTATCACTATCTCGGATGTCCACCATTCAAGACTGTGATCATCACGACGTTCTTTTGATTAGAATAGAGAATAAAGGTATAAAACCACACGCATTGTTTTGTTGATTTAAGGAGGAGGAGAACATTTACCAAACCATGCTAGCGGAAGGGATAGCCAAATGAAAGAATTCCTTTGTGCTAGGAAAAACTTCTTTCGTGAAACAAAGACGAGTCTTTTCAGAAGAGGAAGAGTATTTGACATATAAACAAAGCAAGAGCACATTGAACGAATAAGATAATCCAATTGCAATTGCAGCTCCACCGCTTCCCAAGTTTAGCTTGAATACAAGCGCCCAACAGAGAGGCACGTGAAAGCAAAGAGCTGCAATTGAGCTCATAAGCATTGGAAGAATCAAGCTTTGAGTCTGCAAGTACCGGATCAATGCTTGTAGAATAGCATATGGAAATAAAGTAGCAATGAGCCAACTTGAATATTTGCCTGCTTCTTTGGAAATAAGAGGGTCTTGACCTATGAGTATAAGAAATTTGTCCACAAAAAGCCACAGAACAGATATCGGTATGCAAACCACAAGGAGAGATATAATTGCCCCATTCGTGTAGATTCCTAGCTTCCGGTACTCTTCAGCTCCATAAGCTTGTCCACAGAGAGTCTCTAAAGCACTAGACATTCCAAACTGCATTCCAGAATCCAAACCTTATAAACAGTTACGAAAGATGAGATAGCAAACATTTAGCTACCTTGATCTGTTCTTATCTTTGATGAGTTTAATCAATCTCACATGCTATTCTATCAAGAGCTATAAATTATTTATGGCTAAACTTTCATGCAGTATTCTAGCTAACCTTTTCCTGCCCCTGGCCTGGCCTAAAAGCAAGCAACACACTGTAACATCACAATTTTATAGCTACCTCACTTAGATTGAGCTAAAGAAAACTCAAAATGCTATTTGATCTCATGGAAAAAATTTCATATTTGAAACAAACTCGATTAAATCCAAAACTCCATTCCATAATCAATTACTGAGACACATATATTAATCAGCTAACCTGCAAACTTAGTACTAAATCGGACGTGGCAATTCATCAACCACCTAGCATACTTACATTTGAGTAGCGAAAGTTAAGATTTGAGTTATAAAAAGCAAATGAAATTGAAAAGCAGAGGAAGGGAGGAAAGGAAGTTTACAAGTAGACTGAAGCCAGTAACATTGGTAAGAGAGGTAGCAATAGCAGCCCCAGAAAGGGAGAGTTCACTGAGATGGCCAATCATCATCATAGACACAACCCTCAAAAGGTGCTGTGATACAGTAACCACCACCATGGGTATTGCTATATAGCTCACTTTCTTCAACTCTTCCACAAACACATCCCATCTTCGTCCCCTCAAACTTTCCCCTAACAATGCTTCTTCCATTTATTTACGAGCTTAACTAAATCTGATTTGTATAATCATTCAAGAGTAGATTTACTATATTATCATCATCTTCTTTTCTTTTGCCTCAGGAGAGACTGGGGAGCTCTCTTTCTTAGTATTAGTACAATATATCTCTCCTGCAAATCTGATTAGGCGCACACAAAATCTGGATTATATTAATCAATGTATCAAACAAATATTATTCCTTCGTTTTTTCATTTTACAATACACTATCTTTTTAGTGGTAAGGAGTAGGATGGTAAAAAAAGTTTTTTAATTTTTTTTCTTTAAAGAAATTTAATGTGGGGGGTTGGTAGAGGGTGGCGTGGTAATTTTTTTTAATAAATTTTTTTTATAGATTTTTTTTTCTTTTTTTTTGGGATGGGGTGTGGGGGCTAGTGGGGGGGGGGGGGATGGTGGTGGTAAAATAGACTTTTTAATTTATTTATTTTAATTGAAAAAATTAATTTTTTTAAATATTTTTTTGGGATGGGGGGACGTGGGGTAGGGGGCGGGGTGGTAAAAAAAATTAATTTTTTTTACATTTTATTTTTGGAAGGGGGGGGGGGGGGGGGCGTTGGGGATGCTAGGAGGGGGGAAGGGGGCTAGTAGGGGGGTTGGGTGATAAAACATTTTTTTTTAAAAATGATTTTTTTAAATTAAAAAACAAACTATTTTTTTTCTTACATTTTTTTGGGATAGGAGGCAGGGGCTGGTAGGTTGTGGAGTGATAAAAAAAACTTTATTTTTTTTTGTTTTTAAAGCTTTTAACAAGATATCTATTATAATATGGATATCTATATTTACTCATATTATCCATTGAGTAACTCATTTTTATTCATTTAAAATGTGAGTCGAGTCGAATCTTTATTTAACTCATTTTCGTTCGACTTATATTCGACTCGACTCGCTTATTTGTCTAGTCACACACGTTTCTATCAAAAGTGATCAAGCACATTGCGAAGGTGGGGTTGGGGAGCTTACATTATAAATTCATTTGAATTCATTTACTTCGATTCGTACCATATAAATCTGTTACTATAATTTTTCTGACTAACTATAAACAATTCAGTTCGAATTTAGAATTAATCATATTTAAATTCATTGTGTAGAATCCGAATTCAAATTCATAATATTTAAATCTTCGGTCCTCGGAACATGCAATGGCTATGTTTATTAGAAATATCCACGTGACCATATTTCTGTATAAAACTAGTACAAGTACAGTATGGAATATTTTATAGCAACAAGAAACCAAATTACACATTACAATGGTTTGGACATGTGAATAAGAGATGCATAGACGCACCAATGAGGAGGTGATAAGACATGATATGACGCAACTTTGTTATTGTTGGTCTTCTTATTATCTTGTTCCTTCGTGTATCCTTTCTCTTGCCTTCTTTGCCTGCATTGTTCATTCTCAAAAATTTCAATTACTAGTTATATAGAAAGAGATCAAACAATAAAAATCTCGAAAAAAATTAAAAAATTAAAAAATTAAAAAGAAAGTAACCTGTTTTTCCCAGTCTGTAAAACATGTAACAATAGATAGAATGATGGATTGTATAGTAGAACCAACCACTATTCCAATCCAAAGACCCTTTGCTTTCATATGTAGAGTGAATCCTAACACCACTGCTAAAGGAATTGCTATCAAATAAAATGCCCCTAAATTTATGTATGCCCCTATATGTTGCCATCCACTTCCCCTAGCTATACCTGATTTTTTTGTTACAAAAAACAATCTTAGTCCAAAAAATTTCGTAGAAAAATGTAACGTTTACTTACTTACCAAACACTAGAAACTAACCAGATATGACGGCTTGTAAGCTGTCTGTGATAATAGACAGACATAGAAGAGGAGTCATTGAAGCAATATAATCCACAACTTGCTTTTCATTGCTAAATGTTCTTCCTAATATATGTCTGCTTCCGAACATACTTGTGCTTAACACTACTGTCTCAATTACTGCAAGAATCATTACTACCTGAACTGCCATTCGAGCTCGTTGAGGATTCCCAGCTCCCAATTCATTCGAAACACGAGTACTTTAAAGCAAAAATGAACATAAGACAATACACACAAGAGAAAATGAAGATAATATAGTATGAGTTTTCACTGATTGAGTCAAACCTTGCTGCTGCTCCAAAGCCATATGGTATAGTGAAGTGTAAAGTGGAAACTGTTAAGCTGCGCGTAAACAAATGAGGTATCAGAAGCATTTTTATATCGAAATTCTCATAGATTCACCAATATGAATAGGTACCATATTGACAACACTGATGCCTCAAGTGTTGGATTTGGTAAAAGGCCTGATAGCAGAGTAAGCACTTCAAGTGACCACCATTTGAGGCTACAACAAAAGTAACCAAATTGAAAAAAAAAAAGTCATTGACATGACGAACAAATAAATAATTCATCACGATGACGAATATTTACCAAACCATGACAGCAGAAGGGACAGCTAGACGGAAGAAGTCTTTGATACCTAAGAAGACATCCATGGAGAAAGGCGTTCGAGTCTTCTCACAAGAGGTAGAAAAACTGACATGTAATGCAAGAAATAGTACATATAACCAAGTGGATACACTGAAGGCAATAGCAGCTCCAATGTTTCCTAGCTCCAATTTAAATATGAAACCCCAACTTATCGGCAAGTGTAAGCATAAAACAGCCAACGAAGATAGAAGCATAGGTAGAATCAAGCTCTGTGTCTGCAAGTATCTAACTAATGGTTTAGAAATTGCACCACCAAACAAAGCAGGGATTGCCCATATTGCATACTTCCGTGCTTCAATTGAGATTTCATGATCTTGTCCAATCAATATAAGCAATTTGTCCATGAAGAACCACAACACACATATCGGTAAGCATACAAGAAACAGAGAGATTATAGCAGTATACGTATATGTACTGAGTTTGTGGTATTGCTTAGCTCCATAAGCTTGTCCACATAGTGTCTCCAAACCACCAACTAGCCCTGACTGTTACATATATTATGCATAAATTAAAATGTGTATAATAAAATTACGCTCATTCTGAATCAACTAATTAACTCTAAATTTTGAATTCATCTCTGAACTAAAATGTACTTACAAGTAGGCTGAAACCGGTGATGTTAGTAAGAGAAGTTGCAATGGCTACACTAGAAAGGGTTAATTGTCCAAGATGTCCAACCATTATGATCGATACAACTTGCAAGAGGTACTGAAACACTGTGACTGCTACCATTGGAGCAACGATTCGACTCGTTTTCTTTAGTTCTTGAGATAAAGCATCCCAACTTATCTGCCATTTCTTTTCTAATTTTAAGCTTTGTGGCAACTCCTCTTCCATTATAGTTCTACTTGTTTTCACTTCAACAGACGAAGACTCTTATAATAATATGCTTGTTTGGTTTGTCATAAATGTTTTCTCTTTCTTTATCTTTATAGCCATTTTTAATAGGATTTTATCGAGATATTTATGGACTATTTCCATGTCATCAGTTAGTTAAAATTAGTTATACACTAAATTAGCTCTATCTTAGCTATACAAAAAATTAGAGTCGGCTCGTTAATTAGCTGAATTAATGAGTAGCTAACAGAATGTAATACTAGAGAATTTTCTCTATGTGCTCTTCTATAACACCCCAAATTCGGATAAGAAGTTCCAGAATGACAAAACACAAGATAAATATTGGGTATATAAGCAATCAGACCTTACAACATTAGTGATGTGTAAGAATGAGTTACGGTATTTTGTATGATTTTCAGACATTGCTACTACTAGAGTCTCCTTTTTCAACTTTTTTTATGTCCTTGTTGTACCTGTTTTTGCGTTCAAACGCAGACCCCAAAGTTGGACTAATTATTTTTATGGAACATTACTATGTCATTCTTCTTAATGAGAAGATGATATAATCCAAATTGCATGTCAAAAAAAAAAAAGTGAAGAAAACTTTGTTTACTGCCAGTGAGCTAGTTATCATTTTGTAATTCACCTCCTTAAAAAGTGGAATTGTGGTCCACTCCTTGGAACTTTGACCAGCACCCTGTTTTTCTTGACAATGAACCTTTAAACAATTAAAAAAACGTTATTTGTGTCGTTATCAAAGTATGAAAGCCATTTTAGGTGGAGCCAAACATATTGATGTTCACCAATCACGTTTCTTTAGCCAAAGTTTTGGATTTATCCGTCAAACATGTTGATTTTTGCTTCATTTATCAAAATTGAATTTGTCTACTGCACTGAGGAGTGCTTATCATTCGAACAACTTTCTCTCATCAAGTCATTCTATTTTTCGAACAAATTTTCATTTGTATCGCCACGACTACTTTATATTGAAGCTGTTCTCGGACTACACTAAGTTCCATTTGATTTAACTTAGCTATAAATTTCAACTTAAGTAATGTGCTTAGAAATCTGATTGTCTTTTTAATCAAACTTGACAGACTCGAAATTGGCTCAGGAAAAATATTTTACAGCCGAAAAAAGGAAATAAAAACCAAGTACAAATCACATAATTGAGCATTACCAGTTTGAATCTTCACTTCTTAGAGAACGTTCACTTAGAAGATAATTTCGACGTTGCATAACACATGCCTTATGTATTTTTATTTTTTTAAAATTATAAAAACAAAATCACCTAATTACGTGGGAGGTTAGCCCATTCATATGTTGCTCATAAAAAAAAATCATGTGTCATACCTATTTTTGTGATATGATTCAAACAATACGCCTTTTAATTTATACATACCTAGAAAACAAAAATCGATTCAAATTAGGAATCAAAAATGAAATTTATATGTGTAACAAACAATGAACTAATTATATATTTAAAGAAATACATGCCTCGTTGTTGTGTCATAAACTCTGTCCATACTTATCGACTACTTAGTGGGACACACTTTATTTACTGATAAAATAAATAAATAAATTCTGCCCATACTAAGTAGTAGTCAACCTTTAAAACAGATCCAAAGACTAATTATATACCATTTGTAGATGCACCCTCATACATTAATTATCTTCTGAATTCAAGATAATATAAACTATAGGTTAAAAAAAAAACTGTTGCCAATAGCAATAAATAGAACCTAAACTTGTTGTCAACCACAACTGAAGATAATCTAATCCTCGAAAAAACAAATAACTATATTTTTAGTAAAGATCATTTTTGAGGCAATGTGTGATTATCTCCTTTCTGATATCCTCTTCTTAGCCTTTATTGCCTGCAAAAGTTCCATCACAGTGAGTGAAACCTATGTTGCTTGTATTCTTCAAGAATGTCATTAAGAACGTGTTCGATCCTTCAAAAGTAGGATATTTTTTGAGAATCCTACACGGGTGCGGCAACATTTTGGAGAGTTCAAGCAACTTAGAGTGAAACAATACAACAAAAAAATGAATATCAGTTAACAAATAAAATTGAACCTGTTTTTGCCAATCAGTGAAAACTAGTATGAGGGAAAGACTAATTGCTTGTATTGCAGAACCAGCCAATTGTCCAATCCAAAGACCCTTTGCTTTCAGATTTACAAGGAAACACAGTAGAGAAGCAACTGGGATTCCAACTAGATAGAATGCTCCAAGATTCACATATGCACCAATTATCTGCCATCCACTTCCCCTAGCTACTCCTGTTTATTTCCAACATACACTTCTTTTCAAATTTCATCTAAATATTGTTTAAACGCCTACTTAACAATCATCGAAAGATATATATATATATAGCTAGTTAGGAGACTTGCCACAAATGATTGCTTGTAAACTATCTGTGATGATTGTTAGACACAGAAAAGGAGTAATTGCAGCAACATAATCCACCACTTGTTCATCATTGCTATAGGCTTTACCCAAAACTCCGCGGCATAAGAATATTACTATGCTCGCCACTACTGTCTCTGAAACTGCAAGAAACATTGCAACTCTAACTGCCACGAGAGCCTTCTGAGGATTACCAGATCCCAGTTCATTAGATACCCTCGTGCTGTAATTAAGCCAGAATTTTTTAGTCATGAGGACAAAGAAAGTACGCATATTTTAGTCATACTGAACTAACCTCACACCAGTTCCTAATCCATAAGGAAGAGCAAAATGCAATGCAGAAATCGTTAAGCTGATCAGCAAAAATATGAGGGATCGGTACTATACACAACGGATGAATTGAGCATAAAATAGGTTATCGTGAACTGGTGCATGCATACCATATTGATAGTACTGATGTTTCAAGTTTTGGATTTGGTAACAGGCCAGATAGCAAAGTAAGCACCTCAAGTGACCACCATTTAAGGCTGTGATGAACAAAAACAGATGAAGATAAATGAATCAAAATTGTGATAAAAACTACTTAAGATTCTTCAATAACAAAAGCAGGACTTCTTACCAAACCATTAAAGCGGATGGAATTGCATAACGAAAGAATTTTCCGATAGCAAGGAAGGCATCTCTGTTCAGAGGAGTTCGAGACCTCTCACAAGAATTTGATCGACTGATGTAAACCACAAGTAATGCTACAAAAGTCCAGATTGAAAAACAAAAGGCTATAGCTGCACCTGATTTTCCTAGTCTCAAATGAAATATGAAAAACCAGGATAGTGATATGTGGAGACATAGAGACAGAAAGGCGCTTGCGAGCATTGGAAGAATCAAACTTTGAATCAGCAAATATCTGAGTAGGGGCCTAAGAATTGCACTTCCAAAGAGTGCAGGGGTAAGCCACAGAGAAAACTTATAAGCTTCAACTGAAATTACAGGGTCTTGTCCCATTAAAATGAGCAGCTTGTCCATGAAGAGCCACAAGATACTGATTGGGATGCACACAATAATCAGAGATATCACTGCACTGTAAGTATAAGTACCGACTTTTTGCCATTGATTTGCACCATATGCTTGCCCGGACAGAGTTTCCAAACCACCAACCAGCCCTGACTGTTTCACATTTACATAAAGAATTTACTAAAAATGTTCATTGTCCTATTAACAATCATGATTCATTTATTAATTCAACCCGATTAGAACTAGCTAGAGACACAGATAGCCTTATAGCACCGGGCTCATCTGAACCTAGTACTTTCGACACAGAGTAGAGATTTATGTGTACAAGTTGAACCCACATAAAGTTCAAATCCTGTATCTTTTTAGCTTTGAACCTCCAAATTGGACTCAACTTGCCTATTTACCACCTCTAATTAGATTTAACAATCACAATGACAAAGAGAATTTACAAGAAGAGAGAAGCCGGTAACGTTGGTTATAGAAGTAGCAATAGAAACACTTGGCAGTGATATCTGGTCTAGATGTCCAACCATCATCATTGATACAACTTGCAATAGATACTGCAATACAGAAACTGCCACCATTGGTGCTGCTATATAACTCAACTTCTTTAGTTCTTCACAATAAGTTTCCGTTATTATCCATTTTCTGTTCTCTCCATTTTCCAGCAACTGCTCTTCCATGGATTCAGCCATGTTTAAATTTGAAAACAATAGCAACAAATGTATGCTGTGATTTCAATTGGACTGTAAATACCGACTTATAAGGTCTTCGTATCTATAGTCCCTTTCATTTGTTTAAAATTGAATTATACAATTAATAATAATATAATGCTATTAGTTATGCCATCAATTAATGCTCCAGATACATAAGGTTTATTTAATCCAGATGATTCAATCACGCTTAAACAAATCTTTTAAGATGGTCTCCAAATCACGATGTTTAGTGTCGTATCTGTGTAGCGGGCCGGCAACATAGGAAAGAAATTATAATTTATTTCAAATAGTAAATCTCTGAAATAATAATTCAACAGATCACATAACAAGGAACTCCACAAAACACATGAGAGACTAACATCATAAATTTGAAGAAACCTTCATCCATAACAAGGATAAATAGTTGTTGCAAATACATTATTTTCATCTACTATGTATACGGAAATTCATTCATCACTGTCCGATTGATATCTCCAAAAGTCACTCACTCAACTTGGAGAATTTATCTAGTAAAGTCATTCAACTTTGTTTTGTATCAATACGCCTTTGTTTCAATAAAATCACTCAACTAAATTATTCATTAAGAAAAACCATACTCGTCATTAAATAACATTCGTTGGTGAATACCATATCCATTATATTAATGAACTCAGTCTACTGCTCTTTATGAAGAGTTTTCCGTGCCTTACACCATATAGTATATAAAAATTCATTCATCACTGCCAATGTGTACTCAACCAACTAATTATCATTAAATATAAGCAAACGTGCCTCTCGATTTCATCTTATTAGTCCCCTTTTATTATTCTCTTCTGATGATCTCTTTTCTGATACCCTCTTCTTAGCCTTTATTGCCTGCAACAATGAGTGAAACAATGCATGAGTAGAGTTAAAGGATC